AATTCAGGTATGATATATGATGTATGGACAGTTTAGGTCACGAGCGTGTGTACATAGACCAATTGTCTTGGCACTGTTAAGTCTGAAGTTGGACTTTACTCGTAATAAGGGTGGTGAGAGCAACGGACATCCTGATAGCATGAGAAGGGCCCGCAGAGCAGCTACGTAGTCTACTATCTGAAGAAACTACCAATGCCCGCCGTCATCCTACTCTACACATGGGAAATGACAACCCTCTACTACTACCCGTTGAAGCAAGATAAAAGTTTGGAAAAGGTGTGTGGTATCATGTCATGTAAAGCCTTTCATTGAAGGGAGAGAGAGAGAGACCGAAGAGAAACAAAAATTTTATAGTCAAATGATTAATTTGCAATCTTTACTTTTTCCGCAAGACAACAAAAGTTTAACCAATTTTCAATAAAAATTTTTTATTTCTTCTTTCTCTTCTTCCCTAGATGGATTAACCGGACCCCCTTTCCCACACAAGGTTGCCACAGGTCAAAACCGCGCCCCTTTGTTCCATCATCAAGTCTTTTTGGTTTGCAGAACAATTGGCGTGTTCCCCCGTCTTCAAAGAAAAACAAACTCCATCCCTTTGCCCCTTAAGGTTTCTTTACATTTAAGCCTGTATGCGGAGAAAGAGTTAGTGTGGGTGCTTTTTTTTGTGGTGTTCCCATTCGTCGCCCGAGGGAAGAACAGGTTGGCTTGGTGGGTGGTAGATGGTGGATGGTGGATGGTGGCATATCGTACCTTAACAGCGTACTTGCGCTGGGGGAAGTGGATCTCCTTCTTGCGCTGGCGCTCGGTCTTGAGGGTGGCCTCGTGCTTGGTGAGGCGGCGGCGGATGGCGCGGGTCTGCTTGGCGCGGAGGTCGAGGGGAGCGTACTTCTTGTTCTGGTAGAACAGGCGGAGCTGGGCGCGCTGGTTGGCGTTGATGACGGTGAGAACGCGAGCGATCGACTTGCGAACGTCGTGGCTGTTTTTGCGAGGGGGAATCAATCAGCATTTCCAGTCCTGAAATTCCTTTTTTGTTTTTGAGGTGCTGTGAGAGTCTTGTCGGGATTGTGAATGCGATGCGAAATTGAGAATTGCGCCTGTCTGATGTCGAGTTTTTTTTCTTGTCCCTTCTTCAGGGTGGATTCGAATGCGGGGTTTGATTGTAGTTGATTTGATCGAATTCCTTCCATGTTGAATCGTGACTCCTTCTGATGTTCTTATCCCCGCGGTGTTGTCGGAGTCGCTCTCAATTTGTCGTGGTGGTGTGTATACCGTATTATCGAATCCCCTTCTCCATCCTCCTCCTTTCCCTCCGGGTTTCCCGACAGGTCGCAATTTCTCGCATCACAAACACATACACACACACAAAGACAAGGGGGCAGAAAACAGGGCTATAAAACGCACATTCTCGTGGTCTTCGACGAGGCACCGTTGGCGATCTTCTGGACACGGAGCTGGCTGAGCTCGGTCTTCAACTCCTCCAACTGCTTGGTGAGGTCATCCTTGCTCTTTCCCCAGAGCTGACCAGCCTTGACCTTGGACGACTATTTGGTGGAAAATATCAGTTCCCTGTGCTCGTAGCTCGAACAGCAATCCAACATACCATGGTGGGCGGCTTCGTGTCGGTATCGTAACGGGTTGTCGACGTGAAGGGGATTGAAGATGGACCGGGTCAATTTGGTGATGGTCGTTGTGGGACTAGGGTTTGATTTTTTCTGGGTGTGCGGCGGCTTAAGCGGGCACGTGATGTGTGGCTGGTGCTGTCGGGGGGAGAAGGTGTGGATGGTGGGCGGTGGGCGGTGGGCGGTGTAGGTCTGGGCGGTGTAGGTCTGGGTGCCTGGACTGTCTGACTTTGACAGGGCGGCGCCGGCGCCGGCGCTGGCGCTGCGGACGGAGGGCGGCGTCATCCTTTGACTTGGCGGCCAGTCCAGTCCAGTCTCCAAAGCTATCCTCATCTAGTCCGTAGACTAAGTCAACTACAGCCCGTGTGTGTGTGTGTGTGTGTGTATGTTGATGAGAAACTTAGTTTCCGCAGGCCGGACGGAGGTTCTCTGACTATTCATGACTTACTACTTTACTGGTTCTACTTACTTCTTGATCCACACACCCCATTAATCCGTCAACCTCGCTATATTCATGGCTACATCAACCGGTACCGGCTGGGCACAGCTGCGGCAACAGGCCCGATCACTGGAGACTCAGGTACAGTACCACCCCTCTCACATCCAAACTACGTATTTTCGTCATCACAACACATATTCTAACACCCTCCAAAACAGACCGAAACCCTCTTCCACACCTACTCACAATACGCCGCCCTAACCAAACCACCCCCCACCCCATCCGAAGAAGAACTCCGCACCGAATCCCAACTGAAGGAGATCCTCGATCGAGTGCGCAAACCCACCTGTCCCCTCCCCCTCCCCCATCTTCCGCCTCTCACTAACTCCCCGGAAAAAAGCGAGAAACAACAATAACCCACCTCTCGCGCCTCCTCGACAGCGAAGCCACCCTGACCGCCTCCGCCCTGAAGCAGAACAACCTCGCCCGCCACCGCGAGATTCTCGCCGACCACCGCCGCGAGTTCGCCCGCATCACCGCCGCCATCGCCGAGGCCCGCGACCGCGCCAATCTGCTGAGCCATGTTCGCCACGACATCGACGCCTTCCGCTCCCAGAACCAGTCCGAGGCCGACTACATGCTCGAGGAGCGCGGCCGCATCGACGAGAGCCACAACATGATCGACGGCGTGCTGAGCCAGGCGTACGCCATCAATGAGAACTTCGGGCTGCAGCGCGAGACGCTGGCGAGCATTAATCGGCGGATCGTCGGCGCGGCGGGCGCCGTGCCCGGCATGAATGCGTTGATTGGGAAGATTGGGAATAAGCGGCGGAGGGATGCGGTGATTCTGGGGGCGTTTGTCGGGGTGTGTTTCTTGGTGGTGTTTTTCTTGAGATGAATTTTCTTGCGGTGAGGGTATATCGCATCGGATGGTTTGGGAGGGGAGGGGGGTGAACTGGGAATATGGGATATACTGGGCCGGGGATATGGGCAGGGTGGTGGTGGTGGTTGTGGGCTGAGAGTGAGTTTGATTAATTTGACGGTATGAGAAGGCGTTCGGGAATGTTTCTTGTCTTGCTATACAGAGTATACTAATAGGAGAGGGGAGATAGTTTGTATCTCCCTCTTCGGTGTTGGGAGAGGTGTCTCGATATTTTTGCGTGCTAGCATATACCTAGTATCTATCTTACAGTGCGGCATCCCCCAACCAATGCTACTTGATATGTACATACACATCCAACCGCCATATGCTTGGCTATCATGGCTGCCCCAAATCAAGGCACCACAACCCTAGCCTTCTTCACCTGCTCGGGCTTCTGCTCGCTGGCCCACTCCGCCGCCGGCGTCTCACTCTCCACACTCACGCGGCGCTCCTGCGCCAGCTTCCGGACGCCGTTGTTCAGCGCCTCCTTCTCCTCCGGCTCGGCGTTGCCACTGCCCGCCCACCGGATGCGGCAGTTCTCGTCCAGCAGGTAGACATACCCGACCTTGGAGTTCATCATGCCGATCGTCTCGCGCAGCCGCTCGTCCACGCCCTTGGTCACGAGGAAGTACTTGTCGTGCTGCGCGCTGGGCAGGTTCCGGCGCATCGACCACATGAACATCTTGACGATCGCCCCCTTAAGCGGGTTCTGCTCGAGGTTGATGTCGACCTTCTGCACGATGTTCTTGTCGTGGGAACCCTCCACTGCTGCCTGAAACGCCTCGTACAAACCCGGGTTCTTCTCCCGGTGCGTGAACGTCGACGTCTGGTTCTCGGCCCACAGGCTCGAGAAGATGTTGACCACGGTGATGCGGCCCCGGAAGAGCGGGGTCGTGTCGCGCGGCTGCCGCTTCGAGGCCAGCGTGATGCCCCGCATGTTGGGGAAGTACAGGGCCTTGTCGCGCTTAAAGAGCCGCGTGTTCGCCACGAAGCTCTTGCCTTCGTGGTGGCGCATGTTGTTCCATTCGCGGAAATACGGCTTGGCTACTTGGTGGGCTCTGTGATGGCGGGGTTGAGTGGTTAGTTATGTCTCTTCTGTTTTTGTTTCTTCGTGTTGTAAAGAGGAGGTGGGGGTTGGAGGGGAGTTAGGAGGTCATGAGTTTTTGGCGGGGGAAGAGGCAAGTGTATAGAGATGGACCTTGCGACGAGGTGAGATATCTGCCCAGAAAAAAGGCGACGTACAGTTGTTTCCGTCTTTCCAAGTGTCTCTCATAGTTAACAAAGTCATCTCGTCGTTGCCCGAATGATCGCTCGTCGACACCGGTGTTTTGTCCCTCACTCGGAGGCACGGGAGACCCGATGGGTCGATCTAGAGGCGGAGGCACGAAGTCTTGGCCGGGTGTTGGGGTTGGAATCTTGGAGGCTGTTGGAGAGTAGACGGGTTTGGAGGGGACTTTGGTTGTAGCTGGCGTGGGCGAGGGTTTACTGCTGCTGGCATAGTACCGCAGCGCAGGTCTGTCAAGGTGCGCAGTCGCCTTGCGCAATTGACAGCTGAGACAGCGACCATTTTGCAAGTCTGAAAGAGACGACAGCAGCCTATTAGGCTTCCACATGGTGATGTTTCTTGGGTGGAATGGATGAGACAAAGACAGTGCGGCAATGCTTGTTGTAAGTCGTTGCTTGCTGGAGTACTGTACAAAACTGCCGGTCCGCACTACGGAGACTCGGTCGGAATGAATGGGGCCCACTTCAAAGCCCGTCCCCGAGTTTAATTGCTTTCCAGAGGTCCCGTGACTTGGTGGCATTTTCGTGGTTCGGGCTACGCGTGACTGTCCTCGCCGGTCGTGTCATCCCTCGGTCATTCCTCTTTGGTCTCGGACTGAATTTATGTGAATGTGAGAGTGAGAGTGCTTTTTCTAAGAGCCTTGCTGTCGCCTGCTAGGCCGCAGTCACGCAGAAGACTATCACTCATGGCTCGACGGTCTCTGGCTCTGGGCGTCGGGACCTCAGCCACCATACCATGGCGTCCGCGGATGCGGCCAAAAAGGCCTTCTTTGAGGGCTTGGAGCGGCTGGATTCTTTGTCCGAGGACGAGGAAGACCGAATGACTCTGAGATCTCATTCAAAGATCAAGAAAGTGTTAAGAGATGAGGGATCCGCTGTCATGAAGCTTAGGTCTACCGTCACGAAAACTGAAGTCCGAGTGATTGCACCTTCCACTCTTGAAGCTTGCCCTGAGCGTAAGAAACGCCCTCGTTGCGTTGCTGCTGCTGCAAGATCAGACGAGACTTTCACAGAAGTGACTGTGCAGAGCACCTCAAGGACAGCGGGAGAGATGCCTCGAAATAAGAAAGCTGTGCCTGTCTCGGGCAAGGGAAAACGACAATGCTCGTCCAGGACCGTTCCGGAAGAGCAGCAGATCTTCAAAGGTCTTGTCTTCTGTAGGTCTTCCTTCACTTTCGGGTTCTCATCTTGGATTCTCGAGCTTACCCCGTTTGTATCTCAGTCTTCTTTCCGAACAAGAGTGCCTCAGCCCTTCGACGCCTGCGTATCCAGCGCGCGCAGGATTACGGTGCTTCTGCTGCAGAAAACTGGGGCGACCAAGTCACTCATGTTATAGTGGATAAGGGAATCACTTTTCACGACGTCAAAAAGCATCTCCATGTCGAATCATTTCCGGTAGGTGAAGCAGACAACAGGCCTGGTGAGACCCATTCTCTGTTGACACGGACACAGTCCACTGTCGCGCTCGTCGACGAAAGCTACCCTTCTGAGTGTGTCAAGTTTCGCACTGTGTTGAACACAGCTCAGGTTCGGTTCCGCGTCAGCGGTACACCTGTCCCTGCAGGAGATAAAGGCTCTTCGCCTGTGATTGAACCCTCAGGTGGTGATTCCTTATCGATCAAACCGAGCCGACGAGAGCAGCAACAACAACACGAAACACAATCGCATACCGAGCTACACAGTCTGACTACTGAAGGACAAACTGCTGGGCGGCAGGCTACCGAACAACAAACCTCTGAGCTGTATACTGCGGAGCAGGTGGTTGAGTGCTCGAATGACCTACATACTGTTTCCGAACCTGTTCGAGAGCAGGATGCCTTGGATGATCTCATCGAAGAAGCAAAGGCTGTAAAAGATCTGGTAAGGACCAACAGAAGAAGCCCGCCTGGATTGTCAATCTAATAGAGAGTAGCCGTTAGATTCTGAGGATGAGCAAAGTACGGCTGAAACATCTGATCCCGAGGCGTCTGACTCGGGCGAATCACAGCCGAAGAAGAGGAAGATGAGCGCACGTAGGAGTGAGGCGCAATCTGACTGGCAGCAGAATTTTGTATGCATGCAGAGGCATGATTCAAAGGCCAATGCTGAAAATGCAAACAATCGGACCATTGCCGTCCTACAGCAAATGCTGGACTACTATGATCGATCAGGTGACCAATGGCGCACGCTCGCCTATCGCAAGGCGATCAGTGCCCTTCGGAAACAACCGAAGAAAATTGCCACCAGATCCCAGGCTTTGTCACTGCCAGGGATTGGCACACGTCTGGCCGACAAGATTGAAGAGATTGTGTTCACGAATCGCCTGCGTCGGTTGGAAAACGCCAACAGCACTCCTGAAGATCGGATACTCCTGGAGTTTCTAGGCGTCTATGGGGCTGGCGTTTCCCAAGCCTCGAGATGGCTTGCTCAAGGCTACCGGTCGCTGGAAGACCTGAAAGCCAAAGCGCCCCTTACGCAGAATCAACGGGTGGGCGTGGAGCATTATCATGATTTCGCCCAGCGTATTCCACGGAACGAGGTTGAAGTGCATGGAGAGATCGTGCGGGAGGCAGTGCGAAAGGCTGATCCAGAGATGCAGGTCATTATTGGGGGTTCCTACAGACGTGGTTCGTCCACTTCAGGCGACATTGACCTGATTATCACCAAGCCCTCCGCTACGATAGAGCAGATTCGGACCATCATGATCGAAACCGTCGTCCCGGGACTCTTCCAGGCAGGCTTCCTACAGACCAGCCTGGCTGCCACCTCCCGCGGCGATGGATCCAAATGGCACGGGGCCTCGAAGCTTTCTAACGGTCGGCTCTGGCGACGGATCGACCTGCTTTTCGTGCCCGGATCTGAAATCGGAGCAGCTTTGATCTACTTCACTGGCAACGACATCTTCAACAGGAGCATGAGACTCCTGGCCAGCAAGAAGGGCATGCGGCTGAACCAGCGAGGGCTTTACGCCGACGTGCTACGCGGACCTCAGCGAGTCAAACTGACCACAGGCCGGCTGGTCGAAGGACGCGATGAGCGGCGAATCTTCGAGATTCTGGGAGTCCCTTGGTGGCCTCCCGAGCATCGCATCTGCTGAAGTGCCCAAAATATATTTTTTTTGGTTTGGTTTACCTCAAGAGACACGTAGGGACAAGACGGGGAGCCAGGGTGACAGATAACATCGGAGCTGCCAGTGGGGATCCATTGATGATGCATTTGCTTTTTTGTCATCCCAGACCGACTTCTCTCCGTGCGTCAGAACTTTTCGCTGTATGTGCTTGACATACATACACGGCAACAGCAGCGAGGAGGCCCGAAATTCCCGCAGTGGATATGGAACTGGACGGCTGGGATGGAAGGAGCCGGGGAGGGTTTTCTTTTTGGGAAACCTTTTTGTCTTTTCTGTTCTTTTGGCATTGATTTGTATTTACGTTGAACTTGAGATAGCCACTAGTAATAATGATTCCACTATGTGTATATTCGTGTTTGTGTAGTAAAAGATAGTAATGTTATACTTTGTTGTCCATCCAAAGTTTGATTCGGAGCCGAGACCGAACAAAAGGCGGTCACCGAAATTCCCTAGAATCCATAGTTGAGAGTGAGGGCAGCCACCGAGTACGGAGAGAGAAGCGGAGAGAGGAAAGAAGGCAGTGGTGGCAGTCAGTTAGGGAGTCCAGTTTGGGTGTGGGAGGTGGACCAGCCAATTAGCCAGCAATGGTCGCACAGAAAGAAAAGGGTTTCTTAGCGAAGTGGTTGATGACGAACAGACCCAAGAGGAGCGGCTTCAAGTTTCTTTTTTTCCTTTCATCACCAAACCCATCGGGGATCAAGCTCCAGCTTGGATCTACGGAGTACTTCTGAATCTGATTCCTCGCAGTGTGCATTGCCCATTGCCCATTGCCATTCACCGAGTTCATCACCGCCTTTCATGCGGTGAAGCGCATCCCAACCGAAACCCGACCAACCCGTGACTTTGGAGGGCGGCCAGTGACAGACCGCCCGTGTAAAAGTCGGTGTTTTGCCGCGACTCGTAACATTAATCCCTTTCATCCCACTCCCTCCTCTTCTCCCCTACACCATTCCTCCCGTTCATTCTCATCTGCTGCCCCTCTGCAATTGCTGTCACTGCATCGCCACTGCTTCGCGCCTCTGTAGCGACTACTTCCATCTCTTTTGACCCGCGGAAACCTGATTTCGAGCGGTCAAGAGCCGGTGGTGGGTTCTGCCGGTCGGGATTGTGGCCAACTGCTATTTTGCCATCCGCTCGCCTTCTCCCACCCCTCGTCCGCTTTCCCCTGTGTGCGTCACTTTGGCTCTGTCCCCCATTTACTGCCGGTCTTTCACAAATCTATCTATTCAAGGAAATTCAAAAACAACGGTGATTAATCTACCCCCCCTCCCCCCCTCAAAACAGGGTCTGTGACTCGAGAGACTGTACTCGACTCCTTCGACCCTCGGATTCACAATCCTGGTGTCTCTTCTGCCCACCCACGCCTTTCGCAATGGGCAGAAAACCGAATCAGTTGATCCTCGAGTTCTTCATTCGCGGCCAGAAGCTCGAGGACGCCAGCAATCGCTACCAACACACCTGCAAAGCGTGCGGCGAGAAATTTCCCAAAGGTCGCATTGACAGCTTGACCAATCATCTCGTCAAGAAGTGTCAAGCCATTCCCTTGCGCGATCGTCAACGCGTCTTGTTGCGACTACACGAACTTCCCGATCTTGCCGACGGTGACCAAAACAAAGACGGAACGGGACCGAACAAAGGCAAGTCCGGGGATCTGCCCTTTGCAGCAGCTCGTCAGAACTTTGACGGGCTCAACGTGTTGGCCGAGGCCTCGAGACAGGTGGGCGCCTCCGACTCAACCAAACGGGGCGGGCCCGCGTACACTCAGTCGTTGACGGTTGGAGGCAAGATGGTCGTCGTGGATCCTGCCCTCGAGGCTGAAGGCTTCCAGGGCAATCCGACTCAGCCAGAGACAGTGGAGGAGGATGCGAAGCCGCCTGGTAAGCACTTTGTTTTGTTTTTAATTTCTAGTCTTTGCGATTTTCATGTGTGCATCGAACTCAGTAACACTTCTGCTGGGCTCTCATTCACTAATACTGTCTTCGCCGCACAGGGACCCCCCAACAAGCTGCCTCCAACGCCTCGTCTCTACCTTCCCTCCCTGGTAGCTCCCCAGCCGAACCACAACCATCCGCATCTCCTGCAATGGCGGAAGCGTCTCTTGCAACTGACTCGGCTGCCAACGCGCGCCAGTCACAATTATCCATGATCGCCGCTTCAGCGAGTGAGATGGTCCCACACGGACTACCGATGGACCAGGACTCCAACGTCGGACTTGGTGATGGACTTGCTAAGATGAGTCCCCCATGGAACCAGCAGCTATCCACCCAGGAACAGCTCCTTTTCGACAGCCTTCATGAACACGATCCTACCTTGACTGCTGCTACCCAGCGCGCCGCATCTTTTCCCCGTCCGATTGCGATGAACCCGAACTCGCAAACCAAAGGTTTTGTGAACGAGTTTGGGAACTCAACCAAGCCTACAAAACCTAAAGTGCGCGGTCGGTTCTCTGCTGCACGACGCCGGGAGGTCCAGGAGGTCAGAAAGCGGGGTGCTTGCATTCGCTGTCGTATGCTGAAGAAGCCGGTATGTGCTGATCTTTCAATATCGATCAGCGTGCGGCTAACAAATCTATGCCTAGTGCTCCGGAGACAGTCCTTGCACCACATGTGCCAGCGTTGAGAGCGCTCGCCTGTGGAAGCACCCATGCATTCGTACTCGAATTGCGGAAGAATTCGAGCTTTATAACGCAAGTATGTATTGTTTGTGGTCCCGTTCATGCCTGGATTGGAGCTAACTGTCGAAGACTTACACGCTACGCTGGCCTATCACGATGTGAGCAGCATCCGCAACCAGGTCAAGTTCGAACATTACGCTGGTCGTATTGAGGTTACTCACTTTGAGGAGAGCTTGGTCTATGTCACATTTAGCGGACTACAGGGTCACAAGCCTTCTGCCTCGACACTTGATCCCCAGCTACAGGGCCTGGGCGACGAGCCACAATTTCAGGGACCTCTTTCTGAGCTCTATTTGCTGGATAGTGATACCGATGATTTGCCGGGAAAGATTGAGATGTACATCAAGAAAACCGCACCATTCTTCTATGAGCGTGAGACTTCAGAGTTCATGCGGCCCACTTTGATGCTTGCTGCAGAGCTAAGTCAGCAGAAGAAGGTAAATACCGCCCATCACTGGATCTCAGAGCTGCGCCGCTAACAGGTGTAGGATCTGTTGTTGGAACGTGTGTTGGAGTTGTGGATCGCCACTCACATTCTAGTGGATTCGGAACTGCAGTGGAAGACGTACTGCAACCCAACTCTTCCGCCTACCTCGGTGCATTCTCTCGCACAGCCCTCGGACGACGGTAGAACACCTATCGACGAGGTGACCAACACTGAGTCGTATGCTCTGCTGTGCAGCCAGTTGCGTGCCGCGACCGAGAAACGTGCGTCTCAGCTGAGCAAGTCGGTGATGAACGATTTGGAGCGACGACTGCTGCAGCGCCAGCAGAGTGGCTGGTTTGAGACCTTCCTGGTAGCGATCATCTTGTTGAACTGTGTTGAGAGGACTTGCTGGCTGTTCCGCTCATGGGAAGACGAAAATTTCGCTCAGCGTGTAAGTTGTGCACCATTTGAGATGTGCTCCGGCATTCTAATGTTTCAGCAGTGGCCTCTGGATAAGCGCCCTCCCTACTATGCCAGCCAGGGCGATCGATTCTCGGATATCCTACATATGCTGTTGAAGATGCGCAGCTTACCGCCCAAGGCCACTCCGCGCCCCGACACCGGAATTCTCAAGGCGGTGGACGGTAGCGACGAGAACGCCGCGCGCTGGTTCGACTCCATCAAAATTACCTGTAAGAACTTTCTTTCCATCGTTCACAAACACATTCTCATGGCATCACTAGCTCTTTTCCTCGAACAACGTCAAGCCACCGTCTTCGACCCGGCCGACTCTCGTTCCCTCGACCTGCGCTACGGCGCCAAACTCCTCCCTCCCTCCAACGTCTACACCTAATCCTGTTCCCCTCGTCTACTCTATCTTACCTACCTATCTAACGCCTAGCTAGCTAGTTGAAACAATCGTGTACCATCACCATCACAATTATCATGTGAAAGAGAAGTAGGAAGAATGACGCGCAAACCAAGCAGACCCAAGAAGGAAAACCTGCGGAACGACCCTGATGATGAAGAAATCTCAACCGAATCCTAACTTTGTTTTTCTATGTTCTTGCTACTACTATTCTACTATACATTAAGCGGGTTTTCATTCTCTCGCCGATTTCCTTTCCTTTCCTATTTCGGTGTTCCATCTGTGTGTGTGTGTGTGTGTGTGTGTGTGTGTGTCAGAGTCGGGAAGTCTGTTTGACTTGTTTTTCTCCGTTATTGTTATTTCCAGTAAAAGGGTTTTTTATATCCGACGGAATCAAGGAGAATTGTCATGTTACTAAGGGTGGTTGGGAGGGGGGGAGGAGTCTTGAGTCTTGAGTCTTTTGTCGGGAGGTTCATGGGGAGGGTATGGTTGGGCTTTAGTGTGTCTCTTCAGTCTTTCCTTTCCTGTCCAACGAGACTTTTGCTTGGGCGAAGGTGTGGAAGGGGGCGGCTTGTTAATGGATCTGAATACCTAAATCAATCATGATTTCTTTATTTACTATGGCTCTCTCTCTCTCAAGCTTATGGGTTCTTTTGTTGTCATAGGGAGGGAATGATTGTATATACCAGTGTGGGTGAGGTGTATGGGATTAGTGTCTCTTCATGATATTCCATACAATTTGACAACGGGTCAGAAATGGTCGTCGACCGATTTATCCTTTCACTTCTTCGAATCTTCATTTGCGCATTAACCTTCGCCTGTTGGACACAGCAGGGACGGCTGGGTAATCGAGGGAAATTTTTGGGATCTTTTTTTTTTTTTTTTTTTTTTTTTGGTTTTAAGGAAGGGGCGGTGACGGTGCTGCTGTTGTCCTTGACGAGGAGGAGCTAGAGCTGTATCTGGATTTGCGCAGCTCTCTCTTTCCCCATTTCCCATTCCCCATGCCCCCCTCTCCAGGGCGAGTCATCGCCCGTCCATGAGTCCAAGATCCTTGGTGTTATGTCCAATCCAAAGAGAAGGGAGGAGGCTATGTTTTGCCGGACTACCCTGGGAGTTTCTGAATCCCTCCCTCTTTCACCCCCCTGCCCCAGAAACAAACCCCGAGAAATGCGCATGATCACAGCCCAGCCCTGTAAGCCCCATGTCATGTCCGAATCTAGCCCGGACTCTTGGCAGGGACGGTGTTTGTTTCGCTGGATCGAGTGGAATGGTTGGGAAGTTCCAGCGACTGAATGGTTTGGATGCTTGGGATCCAGAACTGAACAGGTACGTGGGGCGATTTCCTGCCCCTGGGTATTGTTGAACTTGATTTCGAGGTACGTGGTATGTGCTGCGCTTGGAGGAGTTGGCTCTGGCGCTGTTCATCTTTTTTTTTTGGTTTGGTTCTTTGGTTTGGAGGTCGTGTAGGCTGTTGTATTGC